TCATAAATCCAAACATCATGAATATTCATAAAACCAACAAAAAGGGTTTATCAAAGTATTCCCAACCATCAAAACTAAACATAGGTTTTGAAAACGGTTTCCACATGTCTCAACATAAGAGGTTCAAAGGACCATATTTATTCAACGGAAGCATAATTAAAGTAAACACATGACCGACCCACTTGCCCCTCGATCGTCATGCTCGCCAACCTGCCTTAACCTGCATCCATAAAGAGCAGGTGGTGATGAGCACAGTGGAAACCGTAGTACTCACCACTATGCACGTATATCACAATAATAATAATGTCAAGAAAGTATAGTCGCAGCATGAATATAAATCAATTATATTGTCACATCTCCATATCACAACACAACATAACATACTACCCCTGTGTACACATCTTTCATTAGCCACGGAAAGAGGATTTATTACCCTAACGGTGGGGTACGTGCCACGCTACGGACACAGCCTTTCATTAGTTTTTAGGCAGACTTACCTCGCAAGGGTAACCGTATTATATCGACTGGGACAACCGTACCGACGGCCGAATCGGCTCACGCCGATAGGCTACATGGTTTACATGCATACTTAGATCATACTAACCAAACATAATGAAAATATATACGACATAACAAATTTTTAATAAGTAAACCCACCTGGTATCTTGGGAAAGCAAAAGCACGACAAGTAGTGACGTAGGTTGAGGCTCGACTCCTCAAACACCTACAGTAAGTCAAAATACTACAATCAACAACTATCTTGACCTTAGAAGGAATACACAAATCATACTCAGTTGAACTTGATTCAACTAAGTCGTTCGTGGAGTTATGTGAGCATTGGAACACTTGGGACCTAGCGCTTAGACTCGACTCGAAACCAATCATGGGGTAAAACATTTAAATTCAAGTTGGTCCAACAAACAAATGAGTTAAGATCTAATATTCTAACACAAAATTTACACCACTGGAGATAGTAATATCATCAAGTTTTCAGCCCTTAACTCAAAATACACGATTTTATAAAATTAACACAAGATTTCAACAAAAACGGGCATAAATTCATAGCCTCACCTACTGAACGAGTTAACACTTGAAATTTTTACTCAAGCAACTGCAGCATACGAGGATCAATATATAAAAATTCCACCTTTAAACATTAAACACACGAATTATGAAAATTCTGAAAATATTCAGCAGAAAACTCATTTTAATTAAAAACCGATCATAACGAACATATTAAATTCTGCATATTTTATTCCACGTAATGCAACATAACTGAAATATTCACACCAAAATTCAAAAATTTACAGCAAGGGAGCGATTTTACAAAATTAAAATAATGTTTAGAAGAATATTAAAATAATTATTTACCCTAGCAAACGAAGTCCAAAAATTATGAAACTCTTACACAACATCCAAATATGACAGAGGGATAACATATTAAAATTTCAGTTATTGTGGAGCACAACTCGATTTATTATGTAATTTACAAGATTATGCCCATAAATCAAAATAATTATTAAGAATAGCTATAGTTGGAATTAAATCATGAAATTTTTACACGACCTATATGAACATCACAGGACATCACACATAAAATTTCACATCATTGTGAGCAGCATGAGATTTATTGTGAATTTAACAAAATTCAGCAGCTAGCTCGGTTTTAAAAATTCACACACACAAAATTTCACATCATTCTGAGCAACATGAAATTTATTATGAATTTAACAAAATTCAGCAGCTAGCTCGGTTTTAAAAATTCACACATGACTCGAAACACACCGAATTCGTCCAAGGCCTTTGCCATGAGTCCAAGGACTCGACAAGGTTCTATTATCCACAACACATACACGAACTTAACTAGGGTTCGCAATTATCTCAAACTAATTGATAAAATACCGCATCAACGCAATATACGAGCCCTAAATAACGCATTATCATTAAAGCTCTAAAACGCGAATATACGAAAAGGGAATTCGAGTTTCGGCACCGTTCTCGGGGAAAAGGTACTATAGACGATCAATGGAAAGGGCCGAACGGGGCTGAACGGAACGTACGCGTGCACCGACGGGGCTCGACAACTACATTTGGCTCGCCGGCGGAACACGGTGAACTGGGGCTGTACGCGGTGGTTGCAGGCTCGCTTGGGACGCCGGAAAACGATTGCGGAGGTGCCGATCGACAGCGAGAACATGCTGGTAGTGCTCGATTGAAACGAGGAGGCTTGCGGTGGCGGCTTACGACTCGACGGAGGGTGATGATGCGAACAAGGACACGACAGCGAGCACGGGTCACACTGGATAGAACTCGCCGGAGAATCAAGATCACAGCGAGGGCGGAAAGCAGCGTTTCCAGGCTCACGACGACAGGGACAGCGACAAGAAAACAGATGGTGATCGAGGTCTGCCGGCGATGATGCTCATGGCGGAGAAGCGCGACCACGACGGTGATGATGGCGCGAGATGATGATGGTGTGATGATGATGGCGATCAGATGCTGATGATGATGACCGGATTATGACGATGCGACGATGGTGATGGTGGTCGTGCGAGAAAAATT